TTACGCATTTCAAAGTGGATTGACTAATTTTGTTCGAATTATATTCTTTGAATCACATGTAAGCAGGAACCTACAATTTTCGTTGTTACCTGCGTTCTTTCATTTTTTCTTTGTGACTTTTTGCAGTTTTTAAGAAACCATTTGGACGGCATAATATTATGTATTACATTTTATCGACTTCCTTATTACCTTGTTATTCTAACGCGTGTTTCAAAAAAAAATGTTTCTACTGCTCATAGTACTAAATTTAGCACTTTCTTCATAAAAACTTCCCATGCACACAGTGAATTGAATGTGAAGATCATTGAAATTGACAATTTTTCATGATCCAGACAAAATTAGGTGGTCTTTCTTTCAAGTTTGTTTCGGTTTTCAGTTTCATAGCGCTCAATAAAATTTAGTAGTGAGAAGCACTGCAATAGCGTAAGCATTTTGGAAAATCCAAGAATTTAGGTCTTGAACTGCCTTACCGATGCGGGAACAGTGCTAGAATTGGGTACTTTATCTCATGTTGAAAATGGAGTTGAATACTCTTGTACTGATGATGAACCTGTCTATGAAGGTATGTATGTTGCTTGATATTTCTAATTCAAAAAGAAAACAACGTACTGTTTTATGTGTTCAAGAAGAAACTTGTTGTCCTGCAAATTTATTATTTTTTAGGTTCTGGTGAAGAAATCTCGGTAAATAATTGTCCAGATAATGCGGATGGCTCCGATGACATCACTATTGGACATTTCCTCATTTGCTGTATCTCCAAGCGCTTCAAGGGTACGTAAAAATTGAATATTGTACAGTCGAGATCTTTCCTGCGGTCATTTTGTGTAATTGCACCAATTTTTTGACTTTATACTAGCAAGCTGATGGTATCGAAGGCTTTTTTGCCACCTCATAGAATCATTTGAACATTTCTTGTAGTTATGTACTGTTTTTCTTCAATCATCGGCTGAACAATTACTGATTCCAAGATTGGTGCAAACACACAAAGTGCTACCGACACGGGTACAACTGTACTTACCACTTTGCTAACTCAGTTGTCTGGTTGCGCCAATCAAAATAAAGAATTTTTTCTAGATGTTCTTTGAGTTCATTCAATCTCTGTCTCGCCAGATATAAGTTACAGGATGCGTTGACGATTACGGTGATTCTGTTAAGACTGGACACTTTGTGATTGGAAAAGGACTGTTAAAATACTGTAACATTCAAAAGAACGGACTCAAAGCGAGGATTGAACCAAAAGGTCCGTATAATATTATCTGTGCCGATGTAAAT